TATATATATATATATATATATATATATGTATGTATGTATGTATGTATGTATGTATGTATGTATATATACATTTCTGTGTAGGAATGCTTGCAGAATTGCTTTAATTAGCCACATTGCAGGGATTCAAGCATGAACCACCTGCTTAAGATAAAGATAAAACATTGCACTAAATACAAAAGGAAACTGACTGTTCCACCTCTAAAACATCATTATATGTTATATGGAGCTCGTGAAATTCAAGCTTATGCTATTCCTTATTTTTCTTGGGACTGGCTACAAGAGAGCAAAATTATCTATTCCATCAATTACAGTAGGTCGTCAGGTCCTGAAGAGGCAGGAACTTCAAGAATGTTTTCCAAAATAACACTACAGATCTGATTCACAATAAGGGAAATGATCAGTTCTCACACAGGACCAGGATGTTTTATTCATTATTTTAACTATCTGTTAATATATATCCTCATTAATAATTAGCATTATCCTTTGAAAACTGTAGCAGATCACATCTTGATTATTAAAATCTAATATTAACACAATTCAATTTGAAGATCTGAGTTATTTGTGTGTTGCAATTGGGTCTGCATGAGGCAGTGTAGTCGGAAGCGGTCTTTGCCTCTGTACCGCCAAAGTACTCAGAATTAAATAAATCAAAAGATACCATACCATACCATACCAGCTTTATTTATAAAGCACTTTAAAACAACCACAGTTGATACAAAGTGCTGTACAGTTTAAGAACACAACATAATAAAAATAATTTAAAAACAGTTTAAAAGCAAAAAACATACAATTTAAAACTAGATCCCACTGGTGTTGAAAGCCAAGTAAAATAGATGGGTTTTAAGACGAGCTTTAAAAATGGGCAAAGAAGGGGCCTCTCTGACCTGATAAAAGATAATTATGAAATAAATATCTGCTTCAATAGATAATTCAAAAATATCAAATGTAACATTCAGCGGGAGATCAAAAGACGGTTCAGTGCAGCTGCTGTTACAATGAGGAAGCTGCACCAGTCTGTCGTGGTGAAGAGATCTAAGCAAAAAGCTAAAGCTTTCGGCCAACGTTCTGACCCTCAGCTACAGTCATTAAATCTGGATCTGGATAAAGAAAGAGATCCTGGATACAAGCAGCTAAAATGAGCTTTCTCCACCGGGTTGCTTGGCTCTCCCTTAGAGATAGGGGGAGGAGCCCGAATGACAATAGGGAGGGGCTTGGAGTAGAGCTGCTTCTCCTTCACATCGAAAGGAGCCAGCTGAAGTGGATCAGGCATTTTTTTCGGACGCCCCCTGGATGCCTCCCTCAGAGGTGCTGCATTACATTACATTGTAACCGTGCCGGCGGGAAACTGGACGAATTGTCAGGTCTGACTATCGGGACATACTGAACGACCACAATGGCCAAAACAGTGGCAGAGCTAAAGAGGGAGGCCGCTGCTGCTTTAGAGCAAGTGCCTGCTTCTGATGGACCTGTGGCAACAACGACTGCTCCTGAGTTTCCCGCCGGCACACTTACAATGTAATGCAATGCAGATGTGCACAGCGACCCCTACCGAACAAGATGGGTAGCAACAAGGACCTGAGGAAAAGCGGCTACTGACATCACTCTGCTGCCCCCGTCGCTCAGAATGCTTTTTCGTTTTCAAGTTATGGACAGTACTTTGCTGGCAGACCACGAAAACAAAAAAGCAATGTCTGCTATGTTTTCTCTTTGATTATGCCATAAAATGTGCAGTCTTAAAGAGGAAAATGCAAATGCAAATAGGATGATTGATTACTAATTTCATTTATGAGTCAAATAATGCAGCCACATTCTTAAGGATTTTCTTGAAATGCTATTTCATATTTAAATTTTACATGTCAAATTGAATTTTGGTATGTATTTGCTGGGGTACATGTTGAAAAATAAATCTCAAATGTCTTTTTCATTTAATTAAGTAAAAAGATGAGCAGTGTTAAAGAAGTAAATTAAAATGCAAATAGGATGATTGATTACTAATTTCATTTATGAGTCAAACAATGCAGCCACATTCTTAAAATGAAAAAGCATTTCTGAAAATGCTTTTTCATTTGAAATATGGTAACGATTTGCTTCCATACTGCTCCTCTATTAGCTGCTCCCATACAGCGGCTATAAAGTGAAGCCACATTTTACTTTCAGAAAGAAGTGGGTTTTAATTATCTTCGAAGATGATTTACTGGACAAAAACAGCAATACCTGTCAAAACAGCTGGACAGCTGCAAAACCATCTCAGCAGAAGCCTTTAATCTGCTGTCTTTAGACAGGATCAAATATATGTTAATGGAAAAGAGGCAAAAGTTTTACATTTGAAATTAATTAATAAACCGATTATTACTATTCATATTAATTTATTACTTACAAATTTGTTAATTTGCAAAAATATATGCATTATGTGCGAACTCAATGAAATAAACAAAGATACAAATCAACGGAAAAATTATGCAATGATTTGAAGTAGAGTAAAGAAAAGTATTCAGGCATTCAGGTCAATGGTAGAGCAAAAGAAAAAAAAATCTGTAGACCAAGCAACATAATCTTTTAATTCCGCTATTACCATACAATAATATAACAGAGGTTTAAAAAGTCTTATTATTGTATTTTTTAAACTAAAGCAGATTGAAGCCACCTAAGATTGTAAAAAAGGTGGAACAGCCCTTTATCAGTTGACCGAAGAATCGGAAACCGCAATCGGATATTGAATATTGGATCTGAAATCAGGCAAAAAAATAATAAAAGATTGTATCGGTACACCTAAAATTTCCAATATTATCCAATATTATCTTGCTAAAACCCCATTTTTTGCATTTTTAAAGGTTACATTTTGAAAAAAAAAAGTGCTGTAAGTAAATAAAAGTGCCTCAAAAATTATTGAAATGATGGCAATAAATGCTGAAATTAAATCATTCTGTGAGAAGTTTTCTTGCATTCATCATTTCACGATTTAATTTTCACATTAAATATTTAGGTATTATTTATTCGTCTAGACATTTATTTCACAGTGATTTAATTATCTTAAGCAGTTTGGCATTCCTTATAAGCCCACCGTAAACTAACAGTAAAGAGATTGTTGTTGAACATTATGAATGGTATTAACTCAACAGAACGAGTTGTTTCAGTGCCCATAGAGACACAGACGGTAACACTAACCCACACAGCCCTCAGGGGTCCCTTCTCCTTAGGTTTTTCATAATTTATTAAGGCTTCATTAATCTTGTTCTGTCTCTTCAGGACGATAGCCAACTACATCCAGTGGAGGACAGTTTTTTCTAAGATCACCACTCTGAGTCGTCGTTTCCTCTACAGATACCTCGACTTTGCTCGGGTTAGTAGTACATGCCACACATATGGGAATTTACACAGTCAGTTGTTGTTGGTTTTAATATTAAGCCAAAGAAAGCACTTTTATTTTGTGGAGCACTGTGTTTTAGTTATACGCTGCAGTGTGGGTCAGTGCAAGTTCTGGCAGGTGAAGCCAACAAATCAGATGCCTTTTTTGTTATAGATGTTTGTCTGGCTGAACTGACCTTTTTTTTTTAGAAGGCCCTTGTACTGGGCGGCATCCTGTGGAATTTCATGAAATACCGCCTATCTAAACATTTGTTGTGTGTTTTGTAGCAGAAAAGCATGTAAAACTGCTGTGACATTTATTGTTTTCAGTTATTACCAAATAGTTCATTTTTACAGAAAGTGCTAAAGACCATTTAGATTTCTTATTTTTTGTTAAACTCATGTATCTCCCACATGCAATTACAGGAGTCATCAATAGATGGCTCTATATGCCTGATCAGTAACTGGTTCAAAAAAACACAAGTTTTGATTTAAATTTGATAATTCTTGTCTCTAAAGTAGTTTTTTGAAAAAGATATATAATTTCTAAAACAAGGTTTGTGTAATATAAGACAAAATTTTACTTCTTTTTAATTTTTGGCCTCATTCCCCAGCAGTAGTAAAAGTAAGACAAACAAATAAAATAAACGGCTACAACCAAACAGAGAAAACAACAGATATGTGGCGATTAAATGATCTACAGCACAGTTAGATTACTTTACAGAACTATTCATATATCTTAGTACATAATAAAAAAAAAATTTTACATCTAAAAACTTTCATCTACTTTTTTTTTTTTTTTGAATGACAAATAAAAGTCTGGAGTTTATCTAGAGGTCACGATTTTTGCTTATTCTTGAAAAAAAAAAATGAAAACCAGTCAGATTGGATGATGAGTCAAGATTAAAGTCAAGTAATGTCATATGTTCTCATTAAGTTTAGGTTTGTGCTTGGCTTGGCCGGTCTAATGCATGGATTTTTCAATATCAATTGCTGCTCTAGCTGATTGTTTACAGTTGTTTTTATGCTAAAGGGCCAAAGGTCATGTCAGTCACCACTTTTCTGCAGCTGTTACAGGAGTATTGTCTACTGTCTCATCTAACCAGAGCACATTTTGTTTAATAAAGTTGCTATATCACCTATACAGCTTGCTGCAAACCTTTTCTTCAGAAATAAAAATCTTGTGTTGTCCTCCTTATAAAGATAATTACGATGAGATATAAAGTTTACCTCTTTGAAAAGTAGAAATGTTAACTTGTGCCTCTGACCTTGCACCCCAACAGGTCATATCAGGAACTACCTCACTGACTCCACGCTGGGATAAATGTGTGAACTATGTGGAGAACTCCCTGGTTTATGCCACAGGGCGCCTTTTCGTCGATGCGCACTTCCAGGAGGACAAGAAGCACATGGTTTCCAGACTGTTTAAGTTTTACAAAAAATATTGATATTAACAATGCCTTTTTGGCCAATAAGCAATATTTTTTTCCATATGATTTATTTTTTTTATTTCCCTAACATTTGGATACCATTAAAACCGACCATGGTGCTGACATTATTTCTTTGCTTTAGTTTAACACCCACAGTCCTGAGCTGCATTACAACCACTGTCACGTTACCAAACAAACACCAAAGGACTGATCCGCTCCCCTCCACCTCCTGAAACAAACACAGCAACTGCCTGGAAATAATTATTGGTTGTTAATATTGACCCAGGTTTACTTCACTTTAAAGGATGATGGCTTTTATTCACACATCATATGCTTGTTTTTCTGTGATGACAAATCTTAGATGGAAGAGCTTATTGAGGGGATTCGGTGGGCATTCATCGACATGTTGGAGAAGGAAAATGACTGGATGGATGAACAAACAAAACAGAGAGCCGTTGAAAAGGTAAGAATTAGAGAACTTAAACTGTTGGTCCCTAATTAAGGTTTAACATGCTTGACTTAATTCATAGGTTTTGGTTATCCTTTTGCAAGCTTAGAACAATAGTTTGCTAGAATTTTGGCCCATTCTTTCTGACAGGGCTGGTTAAACGGAGTCAATATTGTAGGCTGTTTGGAGGATCCATTGGTAGACAAGCTTTCACTTTCTGGCTGATGTCATAAGCTTGACTATTTCCACACTCAGAATACTGGGGGATGGTACTACTGTCCTATTGTACTCTTAAACATATTAAACTAGAGTCATTTTAATTATACCTCAGGGAACTGAAGATTTATGAAGAGGAGTCCTCCTATATCTCATTTATAACCTCTAATTAAACTAGTGGTTAAAGGTTAAGATAGCAAACGGTTGAAAATGTATATACTTTTTTTTTTCTTCAATACTGGTTACTTATAGCAAGATTAACTTCACAAGCTCACTTGTACAAAAAAAAGATATTTAAATAAGTGTATTTGCATTTAGCGTAAGTCTGTAATTAAAATAATCTGCTCTTACAAAAGCAAAAAGAAAACATCTTCAGTTTCTTGTTTCAAGTGCAGTATGTATAATTATCTTATTTTAGAGTCTGAATTAATCTACTTATAGTAGTTGTTTATTACGAGTATTGTTTTGCTTTCCCGCTAAAATGAAAGGCTAATGCATTTACTTTAAAATACGTTGTCCAGTTCTGGTTTTGTCATGTTTTTTTTTAGCCTATCGAACTTTTATGCTTTGGTTGTTGTTTCACCTCTTAATTACAAAGTGAGCAATGGAAAACCAAGAAAAAATTGTCTTATCAAACTTTGGAATTAAGGTTGAATATGATTTCAAATTCAGTGCAAACGTTTTTTTTTAAATAATGAATTAAAATATATGAATCTGTCACTCTTTTTGTCTAGAAAAGTAAGAGGTAATATTTCTAGATCTGGTGAGGTAAAGTTTGAAAAGACTTTGATGCAAAGACATAAGTAGTTTTTAGTTTGGTAAAATGTCTTGATTGCTTTTGTGTTAAATCTAATGCTAAGTCATTTGCCAAGAGGTGTCATGTAAAACTGCTGTCTAGATTTGAAAGAAATTTCAAGGCCTTTATATTTCATACGCATTAACATCAATACTTTATTCATCATTAAATTCATTTAAACAGAGTTTGGAACATTGATTTATATACTAACACATTTAAATTCTTGTTTTTCTTTCCTAAGGCTCACGCAGTACTGGCTAAGGTTGGCTACCCAGAGTTTATTTTGAATGATACCTACCTCTCAGAAGATATAAAAGAGGTTTGTACTGCATAAATTATTTGTTTAGAGTTAAGATGATACTTTTGTTTGTACATAATAAAGAGTGTATAAGATAAATACCTTCTTGCTAGAGTGCAACTGCTTTGTGTTATTTGGCAGTTATGAATGAGAGCATACAGAAATATTATATAAGGTGTTCTTCAAGATGCCATCATTGGCCCACTTATTTTTTGGGCTGTTTCATGCCCATCCTTGCTACAGTTTTGTAGTATTACAGTACAAAATCTCTAACCAAACAACTCACACACAGTTTATGACCGAAATGATGACTAAACTCTATTATAGCCACTGGATATAGTTCCCACATCACTGACTAGATATGTTAAACTTTTTCACTGAAAAGAAATAACTTCTAGTTAGGGGTCTAAAAATTGCCTACCTTGGCACTCATCCATATTTTATAAGGCTAAAAACAGAAATCTAGATCAAGTAAAAGCCTTCATTTCAAAAGTGGACTTGACTTTTACTAGACTTAATTTTTCCAGTGAAGTTATTATATTCCCAAACACTGTAAGCAAACATTCATTGCCAAGTAAAAAAACATGATTAAAGTTAGCTATTCTTTTTTATTTACTTTAACTTTTTTTTTTTTTTTTTGTATTTCAATTTGTCTGTTTCAGCTAGAGTTCAATGAAAAGGATTATTATGGTAACGTGATGCAGACTCTGAAAATGATCGCCAAATCTGACGTCTCCTGGCTTCGAAAAAGTGTCCCACGAACAGAGTGAGTCTCTACTAGCAACACAAGTTCTATTGTAGTTTTACCTCCCAGTTGACACACTTTATTAAGGGTATTTTCTTTTCCTTTTTTTAGATGGTTTACAAACCCAACCACCGTGAATGCCTTCTACAGTTCCTCCACAAATCAAATCAGTAAGATGCGGCTAAACAAACACGTTCATTTAGGGAAATACTTGTTTCACCAAACACTTCATCCTGACAGGTTTTACACAAATAGAATCTAATTTATATTTATAGAATTAACTGGTTACCATTATGTCCTTTTTCATGATTTCTATTGTATTAATGAAAACGATAAGAAACACACAAGACTGTTTGGTAGCATTTTCATTTCTTTTTTTCTGCAGGATTCCCAGCTGGAGAGCTTCAAAAGCCCTTTTTCTGGGGAAAAGAGTATCCGAGGTGAGGCTTAATAAATCTGACATGCTCTGCTAGCAAACTACAGAACTGTCTCCTCATACTTTACCCGTTAGGAGTAATTCCTGGATTTTTATGACATGAGCTTGTAATAGAAAGCCTGACGTGTCAGAGTTCACTTAATTTGTGCTGCACACAGCCTGAAACGACAGCTAGAAAAGGTGTCCCGACTTTTAAAGTCATAGGAGAGTCATATTTAAATTTCAAATTATTCTGGCTTAAACATGTATATAAATGTACTCTTTATCAGACCATATTGCACCAAAATTTAGAAAAGTTGTACTAAAGTTGTGTTATGCAGGCCAGTTAGTGATACGTCAGCTTGTACACCTAAATTTGGCCAATCATATATCAATCTAATTTTTTCGGTCATAGCATCTTGATTCATATGTCGCAGCTAATATACGCAACGGTTGAAATAAGAATCATTATTTACTTTACTATTGTCCCAGTGTTCACGGGGATGGACGTCTGTGTCTTCGGCAGGCGTAGAGCTAACAGAACTGGCAGCGTTGCGAGGCAAGGGCTCAAACATGGACGGCTGTATGCCTTCTACACCAAACCAAGCTTCTGACGCCATGGCGTCTTGTTCCACAACATCTTAATCTCCGCTTTCCTCCTCTGAATAAAAAATGTATGACGGAGGAGACTCATCCACGACCTCCGACACAAAACTCTCCTCCTCTTGCATGTTTCCTCTGTCCATAGCGTTCCTTGACAGTGTCGTTTCTAAGTCACCAATTTAGTGCTACTTGGTCCCAATGAAATTTCCCATTGGGAACCTACTAGCACTAAGTTGCTAACTGGTTAGCAAGATGCTTCCGTGACGCCGGCCACAATCAAACTTCTTTGCAAACCTTCCACAACAACAATCCCACCCCTTTGACGAACGACCAATCACATTCACTTTATTCACTCCGCACCACTCGGGAGAGTTCGGAAATGCAACCGTTGGAACAGCCGCTTCCCTGCGACGTTAATTTGTCTGTAGCACACAGTTGAATGAGTAGCACACAAAGATCCTTTGCAATTTTGAAAAATAGGATATTTGGTTTATTCATCTTCCAGAAGGAAGGGCAGATTAATTTTGATTGACTGTGATTTAAATAATCACTTTTTAATCTATGATTGAACAGTCCAGATTTATTGTAAATTTGACATTCTGCTGCTGAATCAGAAACCAGCAGCCATTGCGGCCTGTTTAGAAAGTTGTTGAAATATAGATGATAGTAACCAAGAAGGGGAATCTTTTGGACAAAAATATCAGTGATGGCATTAAATAGTAATAGAAAATTATGGTTAAGATTATGGTGCTCTCCATTGTTTTTAACAATCAAGGTTAAAGACTTTTGCATACAGCATAAGAAAAATGCTTGTTTGGGGCTGTGCTCATTCTGTTAGTTTTCCCACTGCTGTAATGGTGCCTTTTGGAGATTTTACCATTTTTTACCCTACTCCACATTGTGCATAAAATTTTATCTTTGTCCAGAGTCACATTTGTTTTACAATGTTTTCATTATTGCTCTAAAGTCTCAGCAAGCAGCTACTGTCTTGTCTTCACTTTTCTTTGAATACACAGATGTTTCATTTTTTGTTACTTTGTCATTGGGGAAATATTATTCATTATGTCTTGGGTGATGTTGTCGGGGCTATGGAATATTTTTACTTTAATTGGTGGTTGGGTTATTATTTTTAAGTCTTTAAAAGGAGGGAGTGTTACGACAAAGAAAATGATCTGTTTTAGGGTTTTGGGACATTTTTCTTCTGAGATGTCTAGAATTGTGAAGTGCATTCTCTGTTTCCTTTCACTAGAAAGAGCATTACAAGAGTAAAACTATGACAACTTACAAACATTCACAAAGCTACAATTTTCCTTATTATAATAATTATTTACAGAAACGTGTCTACATTTTCTATCTTAAAAGTTAATAAAATAACAGCTATGAATAAAAATCTCCACATTATTCCTTACATTTTTTTTCTTTTTAACGTAACAGTTAGCTTGTCTAAAATTAAATGATGCTCAATATTTTTTTATATAAAGCTGCTGCTGCTTTTCTCTAATTACACATTTTTTTCTTGCTGCTTTGCTTGAATCTGTTATTTTCCCACATTTTCCATGGCTTCCTGTGTTTTCTAGATCGTTAAGTTACGGTGCCATTGGGGTGATAGTTGGACATGAGCTAACTCACGGCTTCGACAACAATGGTAAAAACCAGTAAGCCCCAATTAATAAAATAAGATCAACTTCTACCACACCTCTGTTTTTGTTTTGTTTTTTTCACTTTGTTTTGTAAAGGTCGCAAATATGACAAAAATGGTAACCTGGACCAGTGGTGGAGTGAATCATCTGTAACTGCCTTTAACGAGAAGACTCAGTGTATGATTGATCAATATAATGACTACTACTGGGAGGAAGCCGGTCTAAATGTAAGGAAAAGGAGGCAAACATTCTTGTAAAGTTAGAAAAGTTCAGTTTAGGCAACTGGAAGTTAGGTTTTCTAGAAGGCGTTTCCATCTCATCCAAGAGGCTTCTTTAGTTCTAACTGATTGGGAGGACTTAGATTAATATACTGTAGATGTAATAAAGGAATTGTGGAAAAACAAAAGGTGGCTCTTCTTCCTCCTTCTGGATTGGCCACGGAGGTCACCTGGGGCCTGCTTAGAGGGAAGAGAAAAAAGAAAAATGAACATCGTCATTGTGTATGTAGCTAGAGTCTGTGAAAAACTTTTCACAGGATTTTCAACCAGCACCGGATCCCTGCACACTACAAACCCGGCAACACCCTGCGACAAAAACTGGCTCACCCCAAAGATAAGACTAGCAGAAACAAGACAACCACGTGATTTACGCTGTTCAGTGTAGTGAAGTTAGCACAGGCCTGTACATCGGAGAGACAAAGCAAAAGCTACACAGGCGCATGGCTGAACACAGGACGGCCAACTCCTCAGGACAGGACTCAGCTGTTCAGCTACACCTGAAGGCTAAAGAACAGTCGTTTGAGGACAACAGTGTCCATATTCTGGCCGAAGGAAGACAGATGGTTTGAGCGAGGGTTAAAGGAAGCCATCTTGTTAACCTGGAAAAGCCATCCCTCAACAGAGGAGGTGGTCTTAGATGTTACCTTTCACCCGCCTATAAAGCACTTAAACCCAGAAGATTCACCTCTCACTTCCCTCACATGACTTGAACTTCAATGAGGCATGTGGGGGCTTTAACGACCCATCAGAACCCCCTAACGACCACTAACACCCCAGATGACCTCCTTGGCCAATCCAGTGGGAGGTATCACAGCACATTTTGTTCCCCCTTAACTCTCTGTCACACCTATGGTGTATTAATCTCAGTCCTCCCCACCACTAGTTAGAACTGAAGAAGATGAGAGGCAAATGTCTTCTAGAAAACTTCACGTTCAGTTGCCTAAACTGAACCTTTCAAGCTTGAACATGACCTTGATGTCTGAGAATCTTCACAGATTTCTTGTAAAGTGATTTAAAGTCTTAATGTGGATCAATTTGATTGTACTCTTCTATAGGTGCGCGGTAAGAGGACCTTGGCAGAAAATATTGCAGACAACGGGGGAGTAAGAGAAGCTTTCAGGGTAATACTTGTGCTTCAAGGAAAATAATCTTAATGGACCTCCTGAAGTCCAGACATTTAAATCCATGTTGTACAAAAATAAATAATTGTTGGGATTAGTCACTCCTGCCTGAAATGATCTGACATCATTCAGCTGCCAGGGTAAGTGGATGTTTCTTTTTTCTGCTTGTGTGTAGGCCTACAGGCGGTGGGTGGACAACAGCAGAGGCGGCGTGGAGGAGCCTCTGCTGCCAGGAGTTGATCTGAATAACAATCAACTGTTCTTCTTGAGCTATGCACACGTAAGCACACATCCATACTTAATATATTTTGTCAGTTTTAATTCTGTACTTTGCCCATTCTTCAGAAAAAACACAAGCTTTTAGAAACATTATACAGTATCCCTAGATAAAAGTTTGAAGCTAAGACTTTGAATGTATTTATCTTTGCTCCTCAGCTTCTAATTTTAAATTACCCTTAAACTAAACAGAATGGTTGAAAGTTCTATCACTAAACCCATATTGATTTCAATGTGGTATTGATTTTACAGCAATCCCTCACACCGATCTTCGTTAGAGAACAAAATATAACTACAATAATGTGTGTGGAATATTTTTGACTGGCAGTTTCCTTACTGCTGTTTTGTTTTTTTGATCATAGCCTCTAAGATCTACATATTAGAAGTGTGCTTTGTGAGCAGTTAAGTCCATCTAAATGACCATATCTATTCTGAGAAAGTAGAGTTTTAATGCCAGACAACAGAAATATTACCCCCAACTCCATAGTGCCTCCAGAAAGCCTGCTGCCATTTTGATACGATAAATACTGAAATCACACAAATGCATTTCGATTCATTATGGTGCCCCAAATTTACTGCATGTTGAGGTCTTTGCAATTATTTAATTAATAAAAATTGATTCAGTTTCTGATATTAAAGCTGAGGGTTTAAGAATTAGACCTTTCTTAAAGAGACATTTTATACATCTTTACAGAAAAATGTATGTAAAAAAGCTTTTTTCTTTGACCCTTTATGACTAAAACATTGATTGATGAGCAGATTGATACCTCAGTGATTTAGTTCCGATGCATCTATACCCCTGTAGCCTATTTTCCCCTAAATGTGATGTCAAGCCATTTATTTGGCTCCAATCGAAGCGCATGATATTCAAGATGGATTTTGTGGATACTTAGAAGCGACAGGTGTCCAGCTCAACTCAGAGACCAATAGAAACTCCAGATAAGGTGGAAAAAAAGTCTTTTAAAAAACTTGTTAAGTACGAGCGATCGCTACGAGAACAAGCAAAGCATGCTGCAGTTCAGAGTTTTGGTCACAGGTGGCAGTATCATCACAAAAATCCATAAAACCTCATTGAAGATAATATGTATGTGAGGGTAGAATACAGTGTTGCACAGATTTTTTGGCCGCAATACCAATGCCCGATGCCTGGTTGTGAAGTATTGACCGATACCATACCCATACCATCTGTTTGAAATTGATGTGTGTGTGTGTATATATGAAGAACTGCATGGTACTTGGATGTGAAATAGTTGCCATCATGGCTTTGTAAAGCTGCTGCCTACCTTTGTGAAGCAGGAAAAAGACTAATACAAAGTGAATCCAGTAGAACTTTTTATTACCTACCTGGAATGGGTGACAATAGTTAAATGAACTTTTGGCTCTCAAAATGCTCGCCGATACCGATACCTGTCCGATACTGGTATCAGTATCGGTGCAACACTGGTAGAATAGCAAATACATGTGGTCACAAAGTAAAGTAAGAGTATTATTTATTTCACCCTTAGGTTAGATGTAACTCCTACAGACCAGAAGCAGCCAGAGAGCAGATCCAGAGTGGAGCTCACAGTCCTCCTAAATACAGGTGAGAAAGGAAGCTAAGAAATAACTCACTTCATCCTTCAAATCTGCTTTTAATCATGACTGTTACCTTCCAGAGTTATCGGAGCGATGAGCAACTACGAGGAGTTTCGAAAAACGTTCAACTGTCCCCAGTCGTCGGTCATGAACCGAGGAGCTCAGTCCTGCCGTGTATGGTGACCTCTGACCTCAGTCTGAAGCCCTGAACCAGGATCCAGCTGTCATCTGAAAAGGGTGGTAATATTTGAGAGCATTGCCAAAATAGTTTTTAACAATGAGGGGAACAGCAAGAAAGTAAGTTGATTGTTCAGCTGAAAAAAAAAAAACTTGTTTAATACATGGATGTTTGAGGTGCAAATGGACATATTTTGGTACTGAAGCCATTTTCTAACGTGATAGTTTTTATGTCTAATAAAAGAATGCATCAATCATTAAAGGACAACAATTAAGGTATCCTACCAAAAAATATTTACAAAAAGTTTAATATTATTATTGTTAAAAAAAAAACTATATGTAGATGTAAATATACAATGTTAGCTTTTTTAATTAAAATGCATATTCTGGTTATAACTGGAGGAGAAGGCTTATGTTAAATGACTATAAACACTGTTAACCAAAATTACTTTATGTTTGAGCCTTATTTTTTTTTCTGTACATTTTAATGTTTAAAATCAACACTGAAACAAAAAAAAAAAACACTTGCTAGATTGTTTTTGAACTTTAAAACTGTCCGAAAGCAGGTAAATGTTTTATATATTAAGGGAAAAGTTTTTGGAGTTAAGGTTTTACGTTTTACCACTGTTTCTGTTCATTGTATTGTGTCAAGAAACAATATTTATGTTGATATTTGGAGGTTTCAAGTTCTGTGGTTCTTTAAAATTCGGTGCATGAACCAAGTAAATGGGATCAGCTTAACTATCAGCAGCTCTTTTTAAACAATATCTAAAATGTAACATTAGAAAAATGCATTTGTATTAAAAAATAATTAAGTCAAAGAATTTCAATCTAGAAATGCTTATCTTATCAGAAAAAAAAGGTTATATTAAACATTTCTTTATTTTTTTTTTTGTTTGAATTTGGACACATCTCTAGATCAATCACTAGCTAAGCATGTGTGTAACAATAATGAATGACCCCATGGCGGTCTTGTGTTAAATATCTTCGGTTAAAATAAGATGAAAACTCGAATGCGCTAATTTTACATCTTTCACAAACTATTCTAAATGTTTTTTGAGAGGAAAAAGATACGCTTTACACCATAAAATAGTTTGATTGAAAAACCAAAAAAAGGTTGGTTTGGATGTACAGGGCGATTCATTTAAATATTAAGTGTTATGTTTATCATCATTATTATGTGCTGTTATTTTTTGAAAACTGTCATATTTCTGTAACTTACTGTGAAGAATTGTGTTTCTGCGATGTAAGTTTATGTAAGGATTTCACGTTTCAGCGTTTATTCTTCTTTTGGGTTTAAAATAAAACTCTGGGACACCATGGTGCGTCCTGTACGTTACCATTACTAATGATTAAACTCTCATCTGAGATGAAAGTGACAGACAGGGCACAGATAAACCTGATGGATGGACAACAAGAGCTCATCCCTGCATTGATTTTTTTTCTTCTTTTTTTTCTACATATATATTTTTTTTGCCCTTCTGGGTTTGCTTTTACATCACACATCCATTCTCATTCATTTATATCAACAGTTGCCATGGAAACCTGGTCTTTAGCCTGATGCAGAGTGTTTGTGGCTATTGGTTGAGCTTACAGTATCCAGCAGGGGCGTTACAATAATGACTTGTATTTGTGGCACAACCAGCAGTAGCCTCATCAGTTTAGACCCAATTAGGAAAAGCAATGCAGCGGTCCCATCTGTTATTGTGGGAGCCAATCTCAATGGGGAGTTAGGGTGATTAAAGGTTTGTGGGTGTGTGTGTGTGTGGGGGGGGTGATAGGGTACGATAATGACTAGGGCGGATGACTGCAGCATCTAACCTGTGGCGGCCATACATTCATCAACACTGGCTCTATTGATTGCTGATAAGGGACGGATGAAACTGTTGCTTACATTTTTCTTTCATCCAAGCTCTGTCCTCCCATGTAACAAAATGCTTTTAGAGTGTTTTAGAGTGTTTAGGTTTTAAAATTGTAGACTTATTGATAATGATCTATAAATAAGAATGTAGAGGAAGTAGCTACATCTATGGGATAATTTAATAAACCATGCAGTAAATGTTTTTAGTGTTTTATCACGCTACAACCAAAATCTTTAATGTATTGTATTGTTGTTTAACTTGATAGATGAACGCAAAGTAATAAATATTCTTCATGTGGAAGGAAAATCGTACATGGTTTAACAAAATAAAAAATAAATAAAAAAGAGAAGTGTAGTGTGGAATTTTCTTTCTTTGGCCCTTCTGAATCTATACTTTTCAGAATCCCCTTCCTCTGCCAGTTTTGTAAATGTACAGCTCAAGCTCAGCTTGATTGGACAGAAAGTGTTTCTGAACATCAATTTCAAACCCTTATCAAAGGCTCTCAGTTTACTTTCGGTCTGGACTTTGACTAGACTAATATTTATAAATTACTGCATGTTGTCCGACGACAGAGTCAAATTTCACTTGCTCCACTTGTTCTGTTTATATGGTAAAGCCCTGCAGAGCATCTGGGACCAGGCTGCACATGATACAAATTGGCCAATGAGCAGTTTCATCCTCGGTCACTACGGCGAGCCACTTTTAGACACAGTAGGCAAACCTGTGGCAAGCCGGGTGATGGGAAAGAAGGAAAAGACGATTAGATAAAGAGAGCAGAGAAAGCGTGGACTGCTGGAAGAACTGCATGGAACTGATGAAAGAAAAGTAAAATGACGTGCTCAAAGATGACCCTGCACATTTTGAGCATGTTTGTCTCAACCTGCTGCTGTGAAGCAGGATTCTCCACCATGAACGTAATCAAAAATAAATATTGATCAAAGCTCACGAAAGAGCACCTTGATATGTGTTTGAGAATGGCTTTTTCTCCATTCAAACCTAGGTTTAAAGCCTTGCAGGTCAGCATATGCTCACTGCTCTCATTAAAGCATAAAAAACAAAAAAAAACAAAAACAAATGGTCAGTTCAGTGTTTTATGAAACATGTGAATCAAGAAATATTCTGTATACCAAATTGAACGATTGTTTTTCACTTTAAAAAACACTTTAGATTTTAAAATATTCTATATTTTATCAATATTTTTTATTTAATAAGTCAGTGTGTAACATGGATGCATAAACACCTCATTTTATTTCAGTGTTAAATTCTGTTTAAAGAAACGGATTATAATAAAAAATGTCTCCAGACCTTTACTGGATGTTTTTCTTTATTCTGACCCCGCTGATTTTTAATTCTTACCCCAGGACTAGACTATTTTACTGCATTAAAACCCTTTGATTTTACACCTCCCTTTGCAGTGATAATTCCATGATCATTCTGTACCTACCAAAGAAAAACATCCCCATAGCATGATGTTGCCAACACCATGTTACACTATAGGGGTGGTTTGTACAAGGCATTGTAAATAGATAAGTTTTTCTTTATTTAAGTTATCGTTGTCTTTTCGCCCACAGACCATATTAGAGATTAATACAAAACCTTTCAGAATGGAAGCAATGGTGTCGATGTCTTGGCTGTTTTCAACCTAGCTAGTATTTTCATCACAAATAAAATATTGGGCAGGAGTTGCTTTAAAAGAAAAACTCAGTTCCATTTAAAGACATTCAAGCTCAGGTGTAGGGTCCAGCCTTTTCTTTGTCTCTGTGGGTTCCTTAAGGCTACCCCTATATTACAATGAAAAGTAGGTTCTGTGTGGATTTAATGCCTGCATGATCCTGCTTTCTGACTCATTAAAAGGGAGCTGAAGTCATCGCTTTGTGTCACTACGTCATCAGATTAGGGTAAATCTACTTTAGTAGCTGCTGTAAAACTGACAACTTCTGTGAGCAAAGAGCCGAGTTTTCATCTGAATGATTTCCTCATTAAAAACAAACACAGTCCTGAGGGCAAAAGGCTTCTTCTAAATCAAATGTTTATGTTCTTCTGTATTTAAAATGTGTCTTTCAATTTTCTCCTCGGGGTTATCACAGTAAAAACATATAAGAGACTATTTATATATGTATATACATACATATGCCTACTGTACCAAAGAGATTTCTTATGTTTATTCATTAAGTGAGGGGATGCGTATCAGAAGCTATTTTTATCGAAGGCTTTTATCAACCCTAGATTCAGCAGTCGGAGTGGAAATAGCTGTCCTCAGAAACCACTCTCTGACCTTTCTGCTATTAAGGTTTTCCCCTGGCGCTCCTGCAGTTAGGCCTCTCCAGCATTTTTCTTCAGCAGCCTCAGTTTTTATCTCCTTCCACTTCCTTCTCAGAGAGAGTCGGTGGAGATGCTCTTCTGAAATCTGCATCCGTCTTCCCTGTTTCTGGCCTGTTACTGTAATCAAATTTGTCCATCTCTGAGAGGCTTCCAAGATGACTTTACAGTATTTCCCTTCCCGATCACTTCCCTTCACCATCACTCCCTCTAGCAGCAGTCTGCCTGGCCTCTCAAGCTAATGCCTAAATGACATTTAGGATATAAATGCTGCTGACCGCCAAGACAATGCTGTAACTGGATAGACAGAGAGGACAGATGGACAGGGAAAGTAATATAAAAAATAACAAAAATAGGCGCAACAAAATTTCCTTTACTTTTTTTTCCCGTAGTTGAATATCAAGAATGTAAACTCTTAACATGAAATTAAGAGAACATTTGCTGGGCTGATCTATAATTACGACTACAAACACCAAATGAAAATTGCTGCTTTTACGTAAATTCAAAGTCATCCTGCTATTATTAATGACCGTCTAAATCACAAATGTCAGAACCTGAACTTTGAACTTCAGTTCCACCAATCATCCCTAATCTATACAAAAGTGACGGGCTTAGTAGACCGCAATAAATGACCTTTAACTAGAAGAAAAACATCAGCTAATAACATGTAAAGGTACTCTGATGAATGTGGTTTTGAGAATTTATGATAACAAGGTTACAGTGGCTCTCAGAAGGTTTACACGCCCCTGTTAAAATGTCAGATCCTTGGGAATTAAAAGGTAAGGCTTTGATAAACGTTTTCAAAATATAATATGACATTTGTGTGGTTCGACTGAGACAAATTTATTAAGATGTATTGTAAGACGTATGAAATCTAAAATATTGGGCAGGAGTTGCTTTAAAAGAAAAACTCAGTTCCATTTAATGACATTCTAGCTCAGATGTAGAGTCCAGCCTTTTCTTTGTCTCTGTGGGTTGCTTAGAGGAAGAACTATGGAAAACAAGCTTGGTCTCACTTAAGGGAAAAAATAGTTACTACACATCCTGGTGTAAAGTCAGAATTTCCCTGTACGAAGAATATATCTTCTAATTGTAACAAATTTATCACATTATAAAGCAAACCTTTTAACGTCTTTAACAATATAGTGTGCATGTTTTATAAAAGTGATAAATTATTTTACTGAATATTAAAATCTTAAAAAAAGACAGACCATTAGTTCCTCCATTTATTCATGTTTTCAGAGTCATTTGGGACAGTTTTGTCTTTGTTTAACCCCGTAGAGGTCCAGATATTTCAGTAGAGGTTTCTCAGTGCTTTTTGTGACACTATA